AAAGTAGGTGTACTTGTAGGTGAAAGTAGGTGCACCCGATCAATGAATGCTGACAAGTGGTGCGCGCTAATTGGTTCGCATTTCGCGTCTGGGCACCTATTCGCACCTGAGTGCAAATATATATATATATATATAATATATATATATATATATATATATATATATATATATATATATATATATATATATATATATATATATATCAGGGTTGTAAAAATCGGTCTAGGCGCCTCTAGACCGTGGCGATTTCCCCCCTAGGCGCTCGCCTAGGTTACCGACCGCCTAGGCGTCCGCCTAGTGCCTAACTCGGCCGATTTGGCCGCCTAGCGTCTAAGTTAGTCGAGTTAACTCGTCCATTCGGTCGAGTTAACCCGATCGGCTCGGCCTATTTTTTTATTATATATGTGTGTGTCCGTGCGCGCGCGCGCGCATACATATATATAATATGACATATATACACTCGTAGACTAGTTTGATTCTTTAAATCTTTGGATGATTGAAGTATTTGAGTATTTCATATTTGAGTATTTTTAATTTTTAATATTGTTTTAAAGTTTTTTTTTTTTTTTGAAAATCATTGTTTTGATGTTATGACTTATGAATTATCATTAATTCATTTAATTGGATGTGTTATTTGATTAAATGTTGAAAACAACCTCATTAAAATTGTCAAACTGCAAGTCTACCACTGTTTTTTTTTGTTCTCGCTTAACGCCGCCTAGACCGCCTAGGCGCTAGGCGCTGTCCGGGCGCCCGACTAGCGCCTAGCGCCTACTGCAACCATGATATATATATATATATATATATATATTGGTTCAAATGAGGACAGGGCTTCCCGTGCGGATTGCACCATTTGGGATGAATAAATGCACAACACAGTGTTCGAAAATGGATCAGTATGAAATGCCACAAAATGCACCATACATGATGGTGTATTTTCAGACACTCTATAGTGCATTATGCCAACCTAATGGTAAATGACCGCACTTCCACACGGGAAGCACTGTTCACACAGGAACTTGAATATATATATATATATATATATATATATATATATATATATATATATATATATATATATATATATATATATATATTAGAGATCATATATGAAAACCAACCTCTCCATGAGTCCATAAGAATCAATCTGGTGCATTAAAAAATAAATCTATTATTTATAGATGAGATTTATTAGGGGAATAAAAAAACGCGTGTGTACATATGTAGCATTATGATGTGTGCACATTAAGCATCTTCCTATATATATATTGCACATAACATGATAACACATGCTTAATGTGCACATATCAAAATGCTCCATATGCACATTTTCGTTACTAATTATAGCTTTTGAACAATGGCGGATCTAGAAATTTTGTTCAGCCGGGGGCGAAACATTAAAACAAGAGGTATTGCTTTAAAAAATGAAACAGTTAAGAAGTTAGCCATAAATATTGTTAGATATAAGCGAAAAATAAAAAAATATTTATAACAAAATATGAAACGTAATTAATTTGATAAAAATAATTCTAATATTAAAGACATTATAAATTACACATCTTATTATTAATAGAAAAAAACATTTAAATTACACCTATGAAGTTAGCCATAAATATTGTTAGATATGAGCGAAAAATAAAAAAAAATATTTATAACAAAATATAAAACATAATGAATTTGATAAAATAATTCTAATAGAAAACACATTATAAATTACACATCTTATCTTATTATTAATATAAAAGTAATTACATATATTTTGAAAACATAATTGCGTTGAAGCCTATTATTCAAATTACCAATTAAGTATTAATGCATTTAAGCCATTAGAGGGATTTGAACCTCCAATCTTCCTTAGGCTGACATGCTTGCTCTACCATCTAGATTAACCTACTTTTTAGTAACATTTGCTTTTTTTTTTTTTTTTTTTTTTTTTTTTTTTTTTTTTTATACTAAACTTTATACTATATATACATACATATGAACATACAAAGGTTATATATTAGGTGGAGGTGGAGTGAATGAGGGCAGCTGCCTCCACTGTAGATCCGCCTTTACTTTTAAATTGACATATAAGGATAAACGTTTGATTTTTAAAATTGATATCGAAACAATTGGACAAGCACTTATTCTTGACAATATATATATTTTGCTGTTATTGCATGCCAATTGCGTGTCATGTGGACCATTTTACTAATGCTTTTCTACATCTTACATTCCGTTCATCCAATAGGCTTAACAATCTAAAAATTCTAAATGCTTCAGTTGTCAGTCTTGTCACCTCTAATATTATATTATTGCTTCATTTTACTAATGCCTTTCTATATCTTACATTCTTTCCGTTTTCATTTGCAAATCACGCCATAATTTTCGCGCGGTCGAGTTTATAATTTTCCATAAACCATATGGTATTGAAAAGTAAAACTTCAAACACTGCACACCTAATTAATAAAATTTAATACGATAATCACTTGTCAGCCTATAATAACACGTAATGTTTTAAACAAAAACCTAGTACGTAGTCATATTTTTCTCCCAAAAAGATTGAACCTCAACCCTAAGGACATCAAACACCCTGCCCAACGGAACATTTGGAAGGATGTAAATCACGGACGCACAAGGGATCTACCCACTTTAGGCATAACCCCCACACTGCTGCCGCTGAAGTTCGAATCCAGCATACTAAACCATTGAGTTAAGCCCGTGCGGGCAACCTAGTAGTCATATTCCTTTTCGATAATATGATTACTATGCAATAAATGTGTGAAATTGTCATATCAAACGTTTACCACTACGCTAAAGCTTATAGCTAATAGTGAAGACGTAACTTTATTTTTTTATACATGTGTAACAATCAGCACCACGTTTTGATGGCATGATGCTAGATCAATCCTCAAAACCTCCGCCCAACACTTATAAAAGGTCAAAATTGAACTATTAGACAAAAAAATCTATCATATCGTTTGCAAGATGGGGCCTAAAGAATGCGACCACTAAATACACACTGCTTTCAATCCCTCACAAGTAATAAATGATTGAAAAGTCTTTGGTCTCCAAACTCCCCTTATAAATCTTTGGTGAATTGAAGTCTATGAAGAGAGCTGCATTAAGCTGACTTTAATTTGTTTAATGATTTAATAGTTAAATAGTTAATGACTATAGAGATTAGTATTCTTTTATTAGTATGATGAAGTGAATATATATGAGGTGATTTTAACAAAGAAAAACAACTTTTGTTCAACTACTAATCTCTCTCTGTGTATATACATATATACTGGTACCAAAAAAAAAAAAAAAAAAAAAAAAAAAAAAAAAAAAAAAAAAAAAAAAACACGAAAGTAACCTTGCCTACAAAAGGATGGCAATTATGTTGTCCATCCGTGTATGCATGGTGCATACGGATGCAAAAACGACGTCGTTTTGACTAAAAACGCGCGTCCCACTTAAAAAAAAAAAAAAAACCAGTTTCGATTCCCAACAACAACATTATGTTGTGCATAATTTGAACTATATATCCAGAATCAATGAACTAAAAATCCAGAATCAATCAATGAACTAAAAATCCAGAATCAATCAATGAACTAAAAATACAGAATGAATGAACTAAAAATCCATAATGAATGAACTAAATATCCATAATGAATGAACTAAATATCCAGCATGAATGAAAAAAAAAAAAAAAATCAGTTCGATTTACGTCTAAATATCCAGAATCAATGAACGAACTAAAAATCCAGAATCAATGAACTAAAAATCCAGAATCTATGAACTAAAAATCTAGAATGAATGAACAACATAATGCTGTTGAGGGAAATCGAAACTATTTTTTTAAGAGGGATGCGCGTTTTTAGTCAAAATGACGTCGTTTTTGCATCCGTATGCACCATGCATGGTGTACACAGATGCACATCATAACGATTGCAAAAGGAAATCCCCCACCCCATGGGCCCAACTAACACCCAAAACCGACAGAATGGTAAATTATGGTCATTGAACAGTCCCTCAAGTGAGAGGCTAGCGCTTGTTGTCCACGAGGAGTCCACCAAATGGGGTACGGTGTTACTCGCACTCTGTGAGTGTCAGGTCTTAATCCTGTATTGGTTGCATTCTGAGGCGAAGGAGAAGGTAGACCAGTTGGTCGCCTCCTCCAAACATGACGGTCGCCGGTGATTATTGTCGAAAACTGTAGGAGAGGTCACTAGAACCCTAGCTAACCTATAATTACAAGTTACCAACCAGTTTCTAGGCTTAAATGCTTCACAATAACATGTTTATGGATTTAATTGCAACTTTTGAAAGTTTAAGAGCCTAAGTGATTTTTTGAGTAAAGTTTAGGCTCCTATTTGATATTTTCCCAAAAATATTAAATTAACTCAATTTAATTAAAAGAAAACGTGCACAATTAAGTAAAAAAAAAAATGTTGGACGAAGCTTTGAAGGGACAAGTCCTGTATCTTGCCATTGAAATTTGAAGTTGAATGCTACGTAAATATAAAGAAATAAAGTCACATTTTTGTTTTTAATTATAGCTTTTAAATTGGCATAAGGCTGGGTAAATATTTAATCTTGAGAATTGATATATATATATATATATATATATATATATATATATATATATATATATGCCAATTGCTTGTGGCAAATTATAGTCCACACAATGTTAAAAAATATTTTTAATATACTAAAAGTATATTATTCTTGTACTGAATGTACATTGTACAAAATAATGTACTTTTAGTACTCAAATAATGTATTTTCTCAAAATACAAAATACATTTTTAATATACTAAAAATGCATTAATTGTGTACTGAATTTACATTATTTGTTAATATAGTCCACATAACTGTGTGAACTATGGTCCACACAATAATGAATGATTGCGTGTCATGTGGACCATGAGGTGACGCAATAGGATGATCATATTACAAGTCTACAATAATTGAAGTTGAATATTCTCACCCCTCCAATCTATAAATAGTGAGCAAGCCTTCACTCTGATCACACACCAATTTAGCATTTCATCACTTACAAATATGGATTGCCTCATCACCACTCTTCCACTGCTCCTCCTCCTCAGCCTCTTCACATCTACCTCCGCCGTCAACTTTGAAGTTCGTAACAACTGCCCCTACACAGTTTGGGCAGCCGCAACCCCAGTTGGCGGCGGCCAACAACTCAACCAAGGCCAAGTCTGGAACATTAACGTGCCGCCCGGCACAAAAATGGCACGTATATGGGGTCGCAAAAACTGCAACTTCGGTGGTGGCGGATGCGAGACCGGCGACTGCGGTGGGGTGTTACAGTGCACTGGGTGGGGTAAACCGCCGAACACCCTGGCTGAGTTCGCCCTAAACCAATTCAACAACCTCGACTTCTTCGACATCTCCAACGTCGACGGTTTCAACATCCCCATGAGCTTTGGCCCCACCAGACCCGGCGCCGACAAATGCCACACAATTTCATGCACGGCGGATATCGTCGGCCAATGCCCCGCCGCTCTTAGGGTCCCCGGAGGGTGTAACAACCCTTGCACCACCTTCCCAAGACCGGAATATTGCTGCACCAATGGACCATGTGATCCTACAGATTATTCAAGGTTTTTCAAGACCAGATGCCCTGATGCTTATAGTTACCCTAAGGATGATGCCACCAGCACTTTCACTTGCCCTGGAGGAAGTACTGATTATAGGGTTGTCTTCTGCCCATGATCAAAGTAATCAATTCCCCAAGTTGGAATTTGTGGAAGTATTAATGCCTTATAATGTTAAAAGTATAAAGGCTTTAAATAAATCTTATGAATAAGTCTGCATTATATATATTTTGTAATGCAACTTCCACTTTTTATAATATATTTCTCAATGACTCAATGGATGTTTTTATTTTCCTTATTAAGTTTAGTTTTGTTGATATCTCAAGCTTTCCTTAAAAAAAAAAAAAAAAAAAAAAAAAAAAATTAAACTAGGTTTATCAACATTGAATACTAGTTTATAGTATGTAAAATATATTTTAATTAAAATATGGAAAATAAAATAAAATGTAACCTGAACGATTCTATATTTAACTTGGAGAGTCAGAGTACAATTTCAGTATACAAAATAGCATATTAATTAAAAAAGAGGTCTATCTGATGTATATTTGTATAAGGATATTATTTAAAGAAAGCAATGATGAGACTAACAAAATAATTATGCTCCAACCAAGTGGCTTGTGGTCCACTGGTATCGGGTTGTTCTCCTAAGTAGGAGGTGAAAGGTTTGAACCTCATTTGAGGCAAGTAGTGTGTCTATGTAAGGTATTCCTCTTCCTTAAAAAAAAAAAAAATTAACAGCAACCCAAGGTGTAAACACAGGCCAACTTATTGTGTGGACCATGAAGGTACATTATACAAGAAAATGTACCTTTAGTATATTAAAAATGTACTTTTTATTTATGGTACACAATTGTGTGGACCATGGTCCATGTGATAATGATTGTGCCCAGGGCCGGGCATTCGCATTCAATTCTAAAGGGTATTCCGATAGGTTCACAAACACGTCGCCACTTGATTCAATGTCGTCATCGTTTGTCTCATCTTCCTTAGGAACCAACTGAGAAATACGTCTGACGATCGGAATATGCTGTGGATCAATCTACAACCGCTAATCAAGAATTGGGCTGAATTGCTTCTAAATTTAACAGTTGCTGCTGAATCAATTAATTTGTTGCGGTGAATTAATGCCTTTATTGATGATATTCTGAAACAGAGTTTTCAAGCTTTTGGAGTTACCTCTTGTTAATTACCTTGAGGATAAGGTGATTTTGATGGGCATGGCAATGATACAACCACGTGTAAGACTTTCTCGTATAATATATTTTATATATTATGGGTCTTACTTATGTGGTGCAAGTGGACTAGGCCCATTAAGTAATTGGTTGGACTGGACATTTAGGTTTAAGTCTGTATTCCACCAATGTGCCTATATAAAGCCTGTATTGATGGGATACAGGATACATGATATTATATGGTACTCATACTGCTCAGAAAATACCGATACACCATCTAGGGTTCTGAGTTAAGTATGAGACAAAACAGCTAACCTTATTCTGCAGATCTACTATTCAAGAGGCAATACAACAGGATATCAACCATGGGCGGAGATTTACCATGCTTCCGCTTCCGCTACTACAAGTTAAGTTTCTCGTAGATTATTCTCTATATAGTTAGATCATATTTAGATATCACATTTGGTATCAGAGCCTTCATCAATCTCTGCCTGGTTGATTGTTTTGCCTAAAACCAATATTAATTTGTTTCATATACATCAATATTTGTATATGTTTTTTTGTACTATTAAAAATTATTTTTGACATTAATAAGTTCATTTTTTAATTCCCGTTAGAATTCTTTTGTCTGGTTCTATTGTTTGATCTAAATAGTCTAACTATAATGAACCATAGTATACGAGAGATCTGACCTCGTATAAGAGTAGAAGCGTAGCCATGTTGATCTCCAGCCACAGTTGATGTTCCTGTTGTGTTGCCTCTTAACGGTAGACCGTTAGCCATGTTTTGCCTCTGACTAGACTCAGAACCCTAGATGGTGTATTGGTGTCTACTAAGCAGTCTGAGTACCGTAACTGATGAATGTGCTATCTAATTCATAAACCTGTATCCCATCAATCCAGGTTTATATTAGGCACATAGTTTGGTTGACTAATAACTACTAGTTATTCAGTCGTCCAACCATACCACTTAATAAGCCTAATCAACTTGCACCCGCAAATTATGCCGTGGACTCGTGTCCACAATGCATTGTGGACACGACTCCAAAACGACGTCGTTTTAAGGGAAAACGCGGCCTTCCAGTTAATTTTTTTTTTTTTTTTTTTTTTTTTTTTTTTTTGTCTTGGCGTTAACGGCGTTATTCGTTTGTGGTATTATGAATGTACAGTTATGGAATTATGAATGTACAGTTAATGCAATTATGAATGTACAATTATGGAATTATGAATGTAAGTTATGGAATTATGAACACAGAGCTCTGACATTATGAACTTACAATTATGAACATATAGTGATAAAATTATGAACATAGAGCTCTAAAATTGTGAACATAGAGTTTCAAAAATTATGAATTTACAGTTATTGAATTATGAATGTACAGTTATGCAATTATGAACACAGAGCTCTGACATTATGAACATATAGTGATAAAATTATGAACATATACTCCTATAACAATGTGGTCTGAAATTTAAAAAAAAAAAAAAAAAAAAAAGTGGAAGAGAACGGTGCCACTAACGGCACCGTTGCATGCTGGACACGGGTCCATAGCATAACGATTGACTTGCACCATTTAATTAAGGCCCTAATATATAATATATAATATATATTATTAGGGAAAATCTTACATTCTCCCACTTGGTGCAAGTACTAGCACAACCTTCATTAAAGAACAAAACACACGAATCATAGTGACATGTCCTCTATTTAATCAGAGTAGTATCCATTATCACATGCATTTTAATTCTCCAACTTAGGTCCTTTATGAACAAACCCTATGTTTGTTCTTGGTACCTTAAGGGATGTTTCTCAAAATACATTATGTGCACAACTGAAAGAGAAACACATCCAAATTATACAAAAAGAGTACACTGTATGATCTCTAAAACCTTAGAAGCATGTCTTAAGTAGAGATCTCTTAATGTTAGCATAATGATAATTATATTCTATGACTTCTTTATAAGTTAACATAAGCAGTACCTCTAACGGCTAAGAGTTTGGAGTTGACACGTCTGTCACTCCCACTCGTCAAAAATAGCCAAAAGATAGTCAAGTCACAGAAGCATTCCAATAACTTAGACAATAAACCAAAGGTCTAAGTCCATAAATTTGGAATCTTAAACATACACCATAACTTCCAAAATAACTTCAATGTCCATTTTAAATGAACTAAACATAATGAGTCTAACTTATATGTCTCACAAAATTGTTTTAAGCCTTACAAACCGAAATGACCCAGGATCAATTTTGAAGAAACTAAAGACCTTATTAATCACTAAAGAATTTATTAAATGACAGTGCACCACAAGTTAAATGCTTTTGTTCTAATAAATTCCATAGAGTTAATACCATCTGAGGTCCTCTGAGTATAATGGTTTTGCCATGTTTAGTCCTAAACTTTCAAATTGACCATCTGTGGTCCTTCGACTTTCAAATTTAACCATTTGTGGTCCAAGTTAACCACCCATGGTCCTTCAAGTTTTGAAATTTAACCAGTCATGGTCCTCTTGAAAGGACCATGGTTGGTTAAAATTTAATAGTTGAAGGACCATGAGTGGTTAACTTGGACCACGAATGGTTAAATTTGAAAGTCGAAAGACCACAGATGGTCAATTTGAAAGTTTAGGACTAAACGTGGCAAAATCACTATACTCGGAGGACCTCAAATGGTATTAACTCAAATTCCATAATATTGTTGCAACATTTTCATAAATATGTTCCACAACCGAAAGTTCAATAATTTGAACTTATGAATTTAATTATATGAACAAATACAAGATTGATACTTGTGGAATCTTTTGGACTTATTGTTTAACATACAATCCAATTTGAAATGTATGAAGCTAATAATCAAATCCAAAAACTTTAGTGGAGTATCTTAATGATCTTTTTCTAAATGAGCACTCCCACTGATTAAGATATTCTTCAGCGAAATTAATAAATGAACTTAATAATATACATACTTATAATTGATTTTACCAACTAACAAATGAAGATATAATTCCCCACCATTAGTTGGGCATACTAAATAATCATTTTTTGGTTCCAATTAAAGTCCAACTAAATAATGAAGACATAATTCCCCACCATAGTTGGACATACTAAAAAAAAAAAAAAATTCACCTTCCAAAACCAAGTTAGAATTTGGCTCAAAAGATACATTTTATAGTTAATGGAACCCAAAAGATGTATGTCAAATCACGTAACTTACTACAGTTAGTCCGAAGAACCGAGCAAGATTCGTGGATCAATTAATAAAAGTGGCAAAATTTTGGGAAGTGACTAAAAACATGTTTTGCCAATGCAAACCATGAAACTTAGAATTATAATTGAAATAAATTTATAAATTCTAAGAATTGTGATAAAATTATTATCTAATGGGTTGAGGGATTAATTGACCTAAAACTTGTATGTGGGCTAAAGTTTTAATTCTATTAAATCCAATTAAGAAACCCTTATGATTATATTTTTCACAACTGCTAAAGAGCCAGAAGAATCTAGTGACATAAAACTTGCCTGTGGGCTAAAGTTTTACTCAATTAGATCCAAACAGAAAAATTTTATTTATGATGAAACAATTATCAAATGAGTTGAATCAAATGATATAAAACTTGCATGTAGGCTAAAATTTTATTCAATAAGATTCATTACAACCCTTATGAAAAAAAAAAAAAAAAAAAAAAAAAAAACTTAAGAGATCATGTTCCTTTTCTTAATCCCTATAGGCAAATTAAGAAATATGATCTAAAGTTTACATCATAAAATTAACCTTTATGATAGAATTGGAAATTATTTACAAATAACCATAAAATAAATAAATTGATTTATTTTTATCATCACTGATAAAACTACTAAACTACATTCCAATACATAATTGCATGTGGGCTAAATTATGACCGTAGTTCAGTATTTCATCCTGATTAATCATACAAATATAACGAAATTGCCTATGGACTAAATTTCATCATATTACATACAATTAATCACAAATGATGTCCAAAACTTTATGTGATCAAAATAAACCGCTTAATATATAATTTTAACAGATTAAGGATGTTGTGGCTAC